ATAGACCGCTGCACTACACTTCCAGCACGCTCCCTGCAAATATCTAACTGCCCTAAACCAATGGCAACAGGCGAGAATCGAACCCACCCCCTTGCGATTATCATGCTATCTCAAGACCACTGTAACCATATACTTCAATACAATGACTTTGAGCTGCTTATTGCTATCATTTCTGCGCCACCTGTCACGCCACCAGCCACACAAGCCAGCGTAATCGCATCAGGACACGTCCCCTCTCAATTGATCATAAAACAAATGAACTTCGACCTCAACGAACTCCCGCGTAATGCATTGAAAACATTTCGACGTTTAGGTAAACATCTTTATCTTGTCAATCCTAGCTCAGCCATCCCAAGAACTGAACTTGCCGTTCCCTTGTCCGTATTAGTTCGTTCCCTCACTATTAAACTCAGCCATCAATGTAGCTGTTTCTGCAGACCTATCAGTTTCCGCACCTCCTAAATTATATCCTTTATTACTACCCGCTATGCACCTTCCTTTGACAGGAAACTCGTGTCAACAGAAACTGAGAATATTCAACGACAATATGACGGTCAACCTTGGTGATTCTTACCATAGTTTAGCGTTGTTTTTTTATCCTATACATGTTTGAATTATCTTCCCGCCATTGCAATATATCAATGTCGTATTTCAAAGCAGTTTGTTGTTTCGTTTCCCTAATACTATGTCGCTGCACGTTCCTTTGTTTATTCGCAGAACGGAAAGAGAAGATGGTGCAGGTACGCAATATCCTCGTCAATAACTGTCGTTTATGTTTTATTTCCACCATTATATTCTTGTTACCTTATCATATGTCGCATCTTACTTTTTATGTGGTCTCTACTAGCAGGTGCATTTCTGTGGTGAAGATATATTTGAATTAACTGTGGTTCGTTGCCACCATTTCCGCGTCTCGGCAGCTTCCGCGTCGCCGTAAGTGTCCGCCATTTTAACAAGCTGGCAGGAGTACAAGCCTGGAAGTTGTATATTTTTATTATTATTATTATGCAATCCCTAATGTAAAGGTCATGATTTCAAAAGGTCTGTTTTGGTTTTCTTCTTAAGGGGTTTTCCTCGTGAATTATTCTTCTCACTTATGTTTGTTGTTTTTGTGTTGCCAGGTAATTTCGAGCCATGAGATATGTGTCAGAATATTATGCTTGTCTAGCCTGCAGTGGGGTACTCTATGGCGGGTACAACCCAAATTAGGGTTTCGTATATGTACTCAACTCTCTGCTAGTGCAAACCCCCTTTCCTGTTCTAACTTTCTGCTCACGATTCTGACATGATATCAGAGCGGTTACGCTCCTGGCCTGTGGGCCCACCGTTCGCTTCCGCTGTTGTCCTGTCTGTCGCGCGCCCCGTGGCGCGCGACGTTTTTTCTTCCCGCCACGCGCTCGGGGCGCATGGCGGTTTTCTACCTTATGCGCGCTCGGGGTGCGCGGCGGTTTTCTGCCCGCCGTGCGCCCCGGGACGCGCGGCGGTTTCCTGCCCCGTCTACCAGCGAGTCGCCCCCCGTCGTCTGTCGAGGCGCCCCCAGGGACCCGTGCGCCGCCCTCCCCCCCCTCCCGTCGCCTCGTCGCAGCGCCCTGGGGGCCCGCGCGTCGCTCCCTACCGTCGCCTTGTCGCGGCGCCCTGGGGGCCCGCGCACCGTCCCCTCCCATCGCCTCGTCGCGGCACCTTGGGGGCCCGCACGCCGCCCCCTCTTGTCGCCTCATCGCGGCGCCTCGGGGGCCCGCGTGTCACCCCCTCCCGTCGCGGCGCCCTGGGGGCCCGCGCGTCGCCCCCTCCCGTCGCCCTTCAAGGCGCCCTGGGGGCCCGCGCGCGGCTCCCCTCCCATCACCCGCCATGGCGCCCTCGGGGGGCCCGCACGCTGCCCCCCTTGCAGCTCGCGAGCCGCCCCTACAGCCCGCGAGCCGCCCCACCAGCACGTGAGCCGCCCCTGCAGCCCGCGCGTGCTGCCCTGTGGAGCCGCGCGCTAATCCCTGCCCTTGTGCAACTTTGCGGAGCCGATTCTGAGGGTGGCGGGTATGTGAACCGTTCCCTGATCCTCCTCCTACTCCGTCTCCCACTGCTGCAGCTGCCGCTGAGGGGGGTGGGTGTGTGGGAGCCGAGGGAATGGCGTTAGGGGGGTGTCGTGGGACTGGAGCTAGGGGTGCAGCAAGGAGGTGTGTGAGAAGGGGGTGTGGGACTATTAGGGGAGGTTGAAGGGGGGGGTGGCCGTCGTGAAGCCAGCAGCTCCAGTCGCCCGTGAGACCGTTGCACCAGTCGCTCCAGTCGCACGTGAGCCCGTTGCTCCAGTCGCACGTGGGTCAGTTGCTCCTGCCGCTCGTCTAGCCGCGGAGCCAGTTACTCCAGTTGCCCGTGTGCCAGTTGCTCCAGTTGCCAGTGTGCCAGTTGCTCCAGTTGCCCGTGTGCCAGTTGCTCTAGTTTCGCCGTATGCTAGCAACTTCAGCTGCTGCCCACCACCTTCTCTCCTCTCATAGTCACTCCTCTTCCTCACTTGCCCTCTGTGAATGCCTCTAGCTTTGCTTGTTCTTATGAACCTGCTCAATGACTGCTTGCTGTGCTGATTATACCCCACTTTGACTATGGGGGTGTGTCAGAATATTATGCTTGTCTAGCCTGCATTGGGGTACTCTATAGCGAGTACAGCCCAAATTAGGGTTTCTTATATGTAATCAACAACCTGCTAGTGCAAACCCCCTTTCTTGTTCTAACTTTCTGCTCACGATTCTGACAATATGTATATCTATTCCAGAGCAAATGTACAAAGGCCTATCATGCTAACGTGCTTCTTATGTACTCATGCTGTAATTGTAGTTTGGAGGTTATGTATTACAAAGTATATCTTATTCATTTTTTACAAAAAGCTGCTTATTACAAAAATGAAGCGTGCTGTATCAGGGATATGCATAGCACAGTATCTAACCCTAAAGTGTCCTGATAGTAACCCAAATCTGACCTAGATGTCAGTTCTGGGCACTTGACCCGTACCTGACATAGAAGGCACAAGAACTGACCCATACCTGATCCGTACTTGACCCATACCTGACCCCAATGTCACTTTTGGGTTAACCAATGTGACCCATACCTGACCTCAAAGTAACCTAAAGTGACAGTCCCAAAGTAACTTTCGGGTCAGATCTTCTAATGACCCAAATCTTGCCTAAAAGTTACTTGCAGGACACCTCTGGGTCAGCAACATTTTGGTGATGATTGAGACCCACCCCGTCCTCAGAGCGTACCTGCGCAGCCAAAATTTCCGGGTTGTACACACGCTTTCGTAAGGAGGGCCTCCTTAAGGGGGGGGGGGGGGGGGGGGGGGGCAGTGTAAGGAAAATTCCTTTCCCTTACTTCGCGTCCCTGCTCAGCGCGTACACCACTGTTCCCGCTAACAGCACCCAACAGTAATCCGTTACCACTCACGACATTCGCCTCGACACTGTTCCCGCCACTGTTCACGACGCGACCCAACCTCGCGGTTCGGTTGGTTACCCGCGCTCAGGGCCTCAGAAGTCAGCGAAAAAAGGCTGATTTAAGTAAAAAAGGCTGAGATTTCAGACCTTTTTTGGAATCGAGGCTGATTTTCCAGCAATTTTGTGGGAAGAAACATGATTTTTTACTATATTTGTAGTGTAAAATGGCATAAAATGGGCTGATTTCTCTGTTTTTCAGCATAGAATTTTGTACCAACTTTGTTCTTTCAGCCTAGCCTGAAACCAATCTGAGGCCTTGCCCGCGCTCCGGACCTCCGCCTCGTCATTTTCCAACCTCGGTGCCAGGCCCGTCGTGCCCCCTCATTTTTGTCAGTAGAGCTACACTGTGAGATCCCCGATCGATCCTAGGGGGGGTTACAGGCGCGTTTGCTTGGGGGGTTATGGGCGCACTGATCCGCTACTGAAACAAGCCCTTTTATCCCAATGGTCTAGTGGTTGGGATTCTTACATGGTATCAGAGCGGTCTCGGGTTCGAATCCCGGTGTATGCACATGTTGGCCATTGCCACTGTGCTCAGTCCTGGGCCTCCCAGTGTGGGGGGGTGTCAGTAGAGCTACACTGTGAGATCCCCGATCGATCCTAGGGGGGGTTACAGGCGCGTTTGCTTGGGGGGTTATGGGCGCACTGACCCGCTACTGAAACAAGCCCTTTTATCCCAATGGTCTAGTGGTTGGGATTCTGACAATTTTCACGCATTACCGTTACCACTGTAGTTTCGCTATATGTTCTTCACTCATGCCTTCGCTCATCGTACTTTTGCTTCGATAGTGCAATTCTAGTTAGATTACTCAATTGCACCCGTAACAATACTGATCTTGTTGTCGAATTATATCCGTTTTATGTATCAAAACGTGCGGATTATCAAGGCCTACCATACTCACGGATGTCTGCGCAATGGTATTGGTTGTGACTAGGTTTCACGATTTTGATTGGTTGCTTACTGTGCTTTGGTTGGCTGTGATGGCTTCGATTAGAGAAGTGGAATCGTGCTCGGTTCGGACGGATTTCAGCCTTGGCGACTTCGGAAAATATTGGGGGGATGCTGGATAGTTGTGAAGAATTTCAGTGAGGTATCGTCGTGGTTCGTGGTACACCTTTTGCGCGTTTGAGTCCCCCATACTTGCCTTACCAAGAAGGTTTGAAAGTGTTTCTGACAATTCGCGTGATTTCGTGCATGTCGCCACGGGCATGGAGGGCGTTTAACTAGAACGTGTAACTTCTCGGGTAAGTTAAAGAAAATCATTACTAGGTGGCTGTGGTTGTTTGTTGTGTGTTGCCGGCGTTACCACCACATTTTCCCATTTTCGTTGCTCCCGATTACAAAATTACACACAAACAGGCACGAACATGCAACCACCACAGTTCGGCCAATACCAGACTCACATCTGCGCAAATGAAGTGTGTAACGGGGCTAGACACAGTTCACATTTGTGCACAAGATGTGCACAAATGTGCACAGAGGAGATTCCAACTCCTCGAAGCGAAAATTCGGTTCACCCTTCACAGGGTCATCCACTCAGCCGCATCCACATAGCCGTTCATGACGGCACTCACGCCAGAGTCAATAAGCTGCTGGCGGGTGGGAGCAGGTGCATACATCCACGCAGGCAAAACGCGCCCGCAGCGGCGAGCGGTGGCCGCATCTTCGGTCGTGGCAGGAGCCTGCGTGGGAGTGGACGCGGGGGACGCGGCATGCAGGGGATTGGGCATCGGCGCAGTGTTCAGGTTCATTGGGGGGCTAGCCCGCTCCATGCGGTTGACGATGACCGGGTTCTTAATCTCGAACAGCGCGCAAAGGCTGCGCGGCGTGATGCCGGTGGCACGTGCGTAACCGATGAGCATCTCGCTCGCCGCACGTGCGTAACGCCGCGCCTCGCGGCTCTCTGGGTTGTCGTCGTCGTAGACGGCCTGCATGTTGGATGGAGCCTCCCATGACGCGCCCAAATACCCCGTTGGCGGCTCAAGGACGAGCGGGTCCTCGCCCGGGTCGACGCATGTGGGGTGGTCGTCGTCGATGGCGACGAAGGCGGCGGCCGGCATGGCGCTAGACCCGAGGCCAAGACGGGCGATCATGATGCCGACATCCCCGATGTCCCCGTCGAGGTCAATGGGGAGAGCGGCATTGACGCCGTTGTCGACCATGGCGAGACCGTCCAGGCCAACATGCGTCAGGTCCATGGCCCACGAGCATGGCATGCACCGCGTGCGCCACCAGCACCTCTGAATCGTACGCACGAGGATCTTCATCCATGACTCCGAGAGCCATGCGATGACATCGCGCATGTTGGGGCGGTAACGTGCCATCACGGGAAAGGCACCATCATCCTGCCACAGGGCCGTGACCGCGTGAAGCCAGTGCTGACGGTAGCGTGCCTTCGTCGTGGCGATCGGACCCTGATCGAGTGGCTGAGTGAAGGCGGTAGTGTTGGGCGGCAGGAAGACAAGCCGGATGTTGCCCACGATGCGAGTGCGGAAGCCGAAAAGGTCTTCCAACGTGGCATCGTCGTCCTTCAGCACGTGGCTGCTTGCGTTGTCCAAGAGGATGGCGATCTGGCGGTCCTCGGCGACCATGGCGGCGTTGAGTTGGCCGATGAAGTGAGTGAACAACTGCGCATGATGGGAAAGACACCGGAAAACAGTTGTGAGCATCGATGACAAGTTGTAACATGGTTCACAAGGGACGAGCTCACCGCAAGCATAGAACAAACGCATCAACCAGTCCGGTAGGTGATCGTATCCTTGTTTGCTTACCGCCGCATTCATCCAGCCCTTCTTGTTGTGACGCCAGTAGCACAATTCCTCCGGGTCGTAGTCGGGCAGAAAGTCGCGAGGGCGCTTGGACTTGGAGATGATCAAAGGCCGGAACGCGTGACTGCCGTCCGCGTTAACGAGCAACCCGGCCGTGAGGCGCTCCTTCGCCAGCTTACGCCCCGGCACGCGCGACCCGCCGTACGTCTTGCGCGGCAAGACCGAAAGAAACAGAGCCGTCTCGTCGAAATTGTAGACGTCGCGCGGACAGAGGGAGAGATACATCAGGAGCTGCTCCTGGCAGGTACGGACCGCGGCATGGTCCTGGTCGGCGGCCTCCCCAACTGCGCTGCGGCACCGAATGCCGTTGCGGCGCAAGGCACGGCGAACCCACCCCACGGAGCAGCGGAAGGTAGGAGGTAGGTCCATTCCGCGTGCCATGGTCGCAACGTGGTCGCGGACAGTTATCAAGGTGAGCGGCACACCCGCGGGCCCGGCGTTGCGAATCCAGCACACCATAGCCTGCTCAAGCTGCGGATATGCGCCGCCACGCACGCGGACGGGGTTGTCGTCGTTGGAGACGGCGCTCCAACGGTCAGCTCCTTTGAGCACGCGACCAATGGTCGAGCGATCAGGGCGGACGCCGAAACGGGTAAAGCACCAGCGCGCCAGGTCGACCTGGCGCATGCGGGGGTTACTGACATGATGGGCACATATTGCCCTCTTAACGTGCACGGGAACCTGAGAGCGGCGAAACAGGCGAGGCATGTTGGTGGCTAAACTGGTGAGTAAGTCTGTGTGTTGGCCTAATTTGCGTGCCAATTTATGCCCAAGTGCCAGTGCTCGGCTAACTCAATGTCGAGTGTGTTTCTTCGCGGCACCGTAGGGGGATGGGGCAACATTCAGTCGAGTGAATGTTGCCACATTTGGGCATGTAACACTTTTTAGCGGAGTGAATATTACCGGAATCGTGTTTGTTACTCGCACATGTATCAGTAACCACACCGGGTGACGTGTGCATAATTGCACTTTGTGGACACTGTTGGGCTTCTATCCAACCTCGGCAATGTACACGTGGCGGTGCTAGGGCGAATTGGGTACGAGCAGGTGCACGATGAGCCGCATCGACGTGGCGTACAGTCATGGGCGAAATTGTGCGCGACGTCAAAACTCACTCCGCCACATTTTTCGCGAAGTCTGTCTCTGGCCTCAAAACAGGAATACCCAGGGGCGACGTCTCTTGTCATTAAGCACATGTGTAATTTTTGTCTTCTGGCCACCCACATACAAGTGGCCCATGCGCTTATAAACAAGGTGCAACTGCCCAGGGAAAAAGACACGGGGGCAGACTTTCTTTTTTGGGCAGGGCAATTTCGCGCGCAGGGGTTGAGCATCTTGTGTAGTCTAAGGGCGCTTCACCTGTCGGTTCGAACAACACACTCGTTCGAACAGGCGAAACGTTACTCGTTTCGCTTATGTTCGTAGTAGTGATCGTGACGTCGCGAAGCACAATTTCGCCAATTTGAACAGAGCTGTCACCTCAAGCCCGATTTTCATCATCCCGCACGTTCGAACACGTTTGTTCGAACAGGTTGGGATAGGTGACACACAATTCCGCACAAACGACTGATATGATTGGTCCACAGTCTTCCGGGTCGCCCATGAACGTTTGCGACCCGGCCAGACGTTGGCTGTATTTCTAGCAATCCAGTTGGCTCCGCATTTGGTGGTCGCAGCGCTCGAGAAAACACACAAGCGAGGGACCCAATGTTTGGCGACGTCGCTCTTTTGTGGGCGACGTCGCTGTGTTCGAACAGACCGCGTGTGCGAATAGCGATGGCGTCACCTGTGATGGCCTGTGTCACATTCGCTCGTTGTACGTATTTGTGTTCGAACTCATTTGGGATACTGTTCGTAGAGTCAAACTGATACGTCGGTTCGGATTTTGGCCTTCCGCCCCTCAGGTGAAGCGCCCTAATCTCGTGATCTGGTTCAGATTGGAAGGGATCTCGATTTTTGAAACGGCTCCTTCAGCCTGCTTCAGCGGTTTGCTTGTTCTCGGGGCCTGTTTGTATAAGTGGCTTCTTCGCAAGCAACTGGAAAGTCGCAGCTTTCGCACGTGATGATAACCAGGTTCGCTTCTCGGCCGTGCGAGTCGGTTCTCCATCACGCGCGAAACTCGCGTTGATGCGTTGCCCCCAGGCCTGTCGAAGTTTCTGGGGCTCGTACTTGCGCTCCCCAGCTCCTCCGCATCTGACCCTTGGTTGGGTGTAGGTGTGCGGTTTGGCGCACTTAACGGTCACGGGCGCACCCCAAAGTGAAAACTTGAAATCAGAGCATGTTTGAAGTTTGCACTACACTGTAATTTACTAAGGGAATGTTCGGGTGCTCCAAGGCTGACTGAGACACACTACACACACGAGGTTGGCTAGAAAACGCTAAGGGAAAATTCCCCTTGGCGCGCTCTAGTGCAGGCTAAGGAGAAAGAGGGGGGGAGGTGGCTCGCTCGGGCACCCTGGGGTGGGGGGGTCCTACGAGCGGAAACCAAAACTTAGATAAAGGGGAGGACTGGTTTCGTCCCTTAACGCATCCGGGGAAGGATCGAACGAAGCACTTAGTGGCTCGGGTAGGGTAAGAATCCAGAACTTGCCGCATCGGAGCTGGAGCGTAACTAGCCCTTAATGTTCAGGGCATTAAGGGCATATGCCCTTGAATCGACAGGCCTGGTTGCCCCCCCACCACTGCCGGAACGCAGCCTTCCTCCTGTCCCGCTTCCCAGCAATACTTCAGCTGCGTCCAACTCTCTAGCAAACAGCAAACCACAGCAACTCGATATCCCGCGTTTCCTGCCAGGCCAGCGTTTTTTTTCCGCTGTGAATGACCTACTCTTGCGATGCGAGTGCTGCGGTGGGAAGAATGGGTTGCAACGGTCTCGAGACGTCGTACTACTAGCTGTTCGGTTGAACGAGTGTTCCGCACGTTCGCGTTACCACTCGTCGTCTCGTGCCTCCTTCGAGTATGTTACTCATCGCCCCACGCTACTCCGAAAAACCTGACAAACAATCTATTCGCCCCCCTCGTAACCAATCCCGTCGCCGACATTGCTGGCGCCGCCAGTTGTGCGTCAGTTACTAGTAACCGCAGTGACCTTTCCTCGCCTCAGGCTCCTCCCAGTCAACCGCTTGGCGAACTCACGATGATGAGCGATAACTGCGTGACGGCCTTGAGAAACTTCCACGCTCACTCCTTCCCGAACAGCCACAAGCCGGCGCTGACTCCGCCGCAGCGGCGTGCCGCAGCCGCGTGCGGAAGGGAGCTGCAGAACGCACTGCAGCAGTGGGCGGGAGCAGCGAGGCGGAGAGAGGCCGAGGCCGCCGGCTGTCAGTGGCCCACTCCCGGCGGGGAGTCGCAGAATCTGTGGGCGAGGCCCCACTCTCAGCTCACACTCGAATCTAAAATCCCTATTATCCTCGCTGATAGCCTCGCTGACAGCCCTGGTGCTGCTGCTGCTGCTGCTGCTGCTCCTGCCGCTGCTCCTGCCGCTGCTCCTGCCGCTCCTGCTACTTTCGCTACTGCTGGTGCTCCCGCTGCTGCTCCTGCTCTTGGTGCTGCTCCAGCCGACTCCGCCGCGCTGCTGTGCTCTGCGACCTGGCGGCGGGCGGCCATGGCGCGAGCTGCGTCGAGCGCGTTCGTGGCGAGGGCGGTGAGGCGGAACCTGACGTCACTGGCGCGGATAGAAGCGGGCGTGGATGCTGTGTGCCGCGGGGTGCGGGAGGTGGAAGGTAGATTGGTGGGCGAGTTCGCAGACAAGGGTAGCGCGGGTGGCGAGGATGGCAAGGTGCTGGCAGCTGAAGCAGGAAGAACAGCAGGATCAGGATCAGGGGAAGGAACAGGAGCAGGAGCAGGAGCAGGAGCAGGAGCAGGAGCAGGAGCAGGAGCAGGAGCAGGAGCAGGAGCAGGAGCAGGAGTAGGAGAAGGCGCAGGAGCAAAGCGTGGCACGTGGCCTGAGGCGTGCTGGCCGGTGCCGCACATGCCCTTCTCCGATGTCAAGGTGCTCCCAATTCCCTTCTTTATTCTCCCCTTTTCCTCACCCTACTATTGTCTTCCTAAGGCTTCTTTCCATCTGAACACGCAAGCTTTCTCACTTTGCCTACCCAAGCAAGCGGTTCTCACTGCTCCCCTTCGCCCCCTGGCCCCGCCTCTCCCCTCCCTCCCCTCCCCTCCTCCCTCCCCCCCCCCCCCACCTCTCCACGCAATTCCTGCTCTCTTCATCCCCTCAACCCCTCCCCTGCCCCAATTACTGCTCGCTTCGCACTCCACTAGGGAACATAAAAATCACTCCACCAATTCCACTTCCCCCTTCCCTCTCTCCTCCCCCCTCCCCAGGCCACCAGAGCGAGTAAGTTCCTCGTGTTTGCCCACTCCGACGAGCAGCTCTCCAGCACGCGCTCTCACCTCGCAGAGGCTGCCCGCTTCGCTCAAGCCACCAACCGCATCCTCGTGCTGCCCAAGGTACCACTCGTGTGCTGGCCAAGGTACCACTTGTGTGCTGGCCAAGGTACCACTTGTGTGCTGGCCAAGGTACCACTTGTGTGCTGGCCAAGGTACCACTTGTGTGCTGGCCAAGGTACCACTTGTGTGCTGGCCAAGGTACCACTTGTGTGCTGGCCAAGGTACCACTTGTGTGCTGGCCAAGGTACCACTTATGTGCTGGCCAAGGTACCACTTGTGTGCTGGCCAAGGTACCACTTGTGTGCTGGCCAAGGTACCACTTGTGTGCTGGCCAAGGTACCACTTGTGTGCTGGCCAAGGTACCACTTGTGTGCTGGCCAAGGTACCACTTGTGTGCTGGCCAAGGTACCACTTGTGTGCTGGCCAAGGTACCACTTGTGTGCTGGCCAAGGTACCACTTGTGTGCTGGCCAAGGTACCACTTGCGTGCTGCTGGCCAAGGTACCACTTGCGTGCTGCTGGCCAAGGTACCACTTGCGTGCTGCTGGCCAAGGTACCATTTGCGTGCTACCCAAGGTGCCACTCCGTTTGTAATGCCTGCAGGCTTACGCGAAGGGCTAAGAGGCAACCAACGCACCTCTCTGTGGGACTCCACTTTCTCATTCCCTTCCTCCCCGCCTCCCCCTCTCCCCCTCTCCCTTTCGCCCCATCCCCCTCTCTCCCTCCCCCACTCCTCACACCGTAACCACCTCAGTGCAGTCGCAGCCGCCTCTCACTCTCCCGTGACCTGCCCCTATGCGCCTACTTCGACCTCTCTCGCCTCGATGCCCACTGGATCTCGCCCGACCTCTTCCTGCTCCTCGCTAGAGCCGCTCTCAACCCCCCCTTTGCTGCTGCCGCACCTGGCACCAGCCCTTCCGTGGCCTTCGTGCATCTGCAGATGCAGCAACTATGGCACATGCCTTTTAGTCAAAGCAAGTACCATCGGCCAAAGTGCCTGCTCACGTTTTGTTTAACCTGCAATCCCTAGTCCTGGCTCCATTCCATGGCAGTACATCCAATAATATCTGGTCGGAGATTGGAGAAACACAATATTGTTGCCCTTGGTGTGCAGGGTCTCTGGTGGACATGCTGAGTGAGCTGATGGTGTATGGCATGGGCCATGCACCGTCAAGACGCAACACTCTTGACATCGCCATGCCGGTCAACAGCAGAGCAGTTTTCCACCAGTTGCAT